AACCGCGTGTCATCCATCATGTTGTCAATGCGTTAATGTTTTGAACCCACACGAGCTTGGCGCGGGGCAAAGCAGTTTGGCCGCCTTTGTGACAGCCCGATGTTTGAAATCGCTCGCCATTTGTGTGTTTGCAAAGTGTGTTTTGGGTCGATTATGATAGTTATGAAGTTGGAAATCAAAAACTTCGACACTGTGTTCACATTTTAACTGTACAATCTGTTAGCTAACTGTAGCTAACGTTGCTGGGTGTTACCGGTGGTAGTGAGAGAGCGATATGACGTGTCTAAGTGGGGGGGACCTTAAACCGAAGGTAGTGGGATAGCTACTGCAAGTCTTTGTGGAGGTGCTACTTGGTGTCAAAAGTTTGAGAAGTGCAGTTTTCAGGATGCCAGGTTCGATCCACTCAACGTGCTCCCCCTTGTGTCCGTGAACAAGCGCAAGGCATTAATATGCTTTCAGACAAGCTTTTATTGACTTGAAGCAAAGCGTTGCCCCCCCGCCCCACCCAACCTCCCTAAGTGGCGTTTTTAACAATGCGGCCGCCGCGATGAATCATTTAGCGTCCAGGAGTACCTTAAAGGAATCGTTTGCTGCGGGAGTTGTTTGATTCCGGCGAACTGACAGCATGGCAGGCTGATGGAATATATTTATGATCATGATGTCACGTTGTTGCGCGTCGAGCTGAAAAGGAGCCTTTGTTTTGTGGGTATGAGCAGGTCAGTCATTGTTAGGCCCAAGCGAAGAATAACCCACAGAAAGGTGTTTCCTGTCTTTTGGGCCGTGTTTACACGTGTGTCATGAACCCCATTGTGGAAGAGAGCCCAGCCCGCAAAGTAACGTGGAATTTGTGACGCGCGTCTATTACGAGAAGACCCCACCCCACCCCCCCAAAACAAATCGCCTTAAGAAAGGCAGAGACAGTTAGAAGCTTGCCAAACATCAGATGGTGGACGTCACAGCAAATCCAGATGCTTTTGCGCTTTTGCTCAAGCGTCACGCTTGAAACTGTCTTGAGTTGGAGGCGAAGTCACGAAGGACCCACAAAAGCAAGACAGCATTATGTTGCGCCTTCCTCAGAAGATAAATACAGTCCTTGTTTTACAGTTTTCGAAGTGCTGATGTTTACTCAGAAAAAAAAACGACTGGCACTTCACTTTCCTAATAGGAAAACAAGACAAACTAATGATGCTCTGATTCCTAAGAAAAACACTCAATTGATTTGACAATTTCTTAAACAAAAGAAAAAAACAGTTTTGTTCACTAAAAAGTCAAGCCTGTTCCTGCGTGTGCCGTCACTAAATGTCCTCACAATTGACGACAAGCTGTTCTCGTGGCACATTTCAAAAGTGTGTTTGAAATCGCCATCAATGAAGCGTGTCAAAACAAACATTGGCGACACTCGGCGTGTTTGACTGCCTGTCGGTCCGAGCGAGCGCATGTTTGGGAATCAGATTTGCGTCGGCAGCCGAACAATGCCTCCTTGAGCTCCACCTGCCAGCTGTGAAGTCTTTCATCCGCGTGCGTGACCTCCAGCCGGCCCCTCTGTTGAAAGCAGCCGGCGGTCGGCTCCTCCGTCTTTGTGGCGGCTCTTTGATGCTTGACCGAAACGCTGCTGTTTGAGGCCACGCCCCCCCTGACGTCATCGCAATGCCGTTTCCGCTTGTTGTTGGCCAAGATCGCAGCTGTTGGCCTTCTCTGTGTGAAATCTCAAAATCTGGTGTGAGGAACAGGCTTTAGCACTCAAGGCCACCAAGTTGCTTACGTTTTACTCAGATCAGCCTTTTATTTATTTATTTTTTTTAATAATAACTCAATATATTTGGCATTTCATTTTTTTTCCATAACTCAGTCATTTTAATTTGAATTTTTTTAAATTATACGTATTCATTAATTCCCAGGAACTTTCCAACTCTCGCATTAGTCGTAAAAGTGTAACCCGGCTGAACTCTTTTGCTAACCAATACGGCAGCACCCACTAGCGATCCCTGTAAAAGTGTAACCCGTCTGAACTCTTGCTAACCAATACGGCAGCACCCACTAGCGATCCCTCATTTTGTTTTTGATGCAAAAGTCGTCAATAACGTGCAGTTGTGCTGATCACACCGCTGACAGCGTGTGGAGAGGTCATTGCTCCCCATGAACAACAGCAAGGGCAATTATAGTGACGAGACGGGCCGGTCGGGAGGCACTGGCGTTGGAGTGCGCCTCGTAAAGCACGCCGTTAAAGTTTAAAGCCAGCGCCATCGCTCATAATTGCAGCGGGAAATGGATTCATGAGCAGCATGTGACGACTAATCAACAGGAAGATGTTGCGACATGTCGTTGCTTTTATTATGTCCGCGCCACCAGATTAAGCACGTTTGCTTTGCTGACAATGTTGCATGTTGTTAACCTTACATACATATTTAACCGCAATTAAAAAAACAAACATTTTTGTTTTTTCACCCTACGAAAGACAGCAACAACTCACAGTCACACTCCACTCAGTAATTTGCACAAAGATTTTCATTTTTTCACCCTCTGAAAGACAACAACAACTCACAGTCACACTCCACTCAGTAATTTGCATGGTATTTGTGATAAAAAGTTTGGGTGTTAGCAATTAAAATGACAGCGCTCAATTTCACTTTGCACTTGCCTCTGCCAGCACCGAATGTCGCAAACTGCGTCGTTAACTTCTCACGCTAACCCCTCACTAGCCATGTGCTCATCTGTGATCGAGTCCTGCATTTCATTTTACATGAAGTTAGCGCTTGACTTCATTTTACACTTTGGAGCGCTAAGCACGGAATCGTAGACTGTTTCATGGGCTTCTTGCGCTAGCCTCTTGCTAAGCATATGCACATCACTTGTGATTTTTTTTGCAAAGTGAGCGCTAAATGAAGCGGTTGGGGCGCACTCATACTTTGAAGTGTCTTTGTTCAGTGTGTTTTTTTTTTTTCCCCTCACTCCGCATATGCACATCACTTGTGATTTTTTTGCAAAGTGAGAGCTAAATGCAGCGGTTGGGGCGCACTCATACTTTGAAGTGTCTTTGTTCAGTGTTTTTTTTTTTTCCTCCCCTCACTCCCGACACATCAGTACTTTTCAGGACCATTACGAAAAAGAAAATAAATTGTTCCCAGCTACTTGGAGTGCCGTCATGGTGACATCTGCCCCGTGATAAATTCCTCCTTCATTAGCTCGGGGTATGGGATTACCCGCGGAGAGGACATTAATCACCGCTTTCTGTGGCAGCCCTCGAATGCGCCGCTTGAGAAAAAAAGAAAAACTTTTTCCTGACGCGTCACTCTTCTTTCAAGGCGAGCTGCAATCAATCATGTTGATTGGCAGCACTGTGAGCTTACACTGTTTATAAAATGTGTCATGAATGATCAGGTTAGCCAACTACTGTTGTTTGGGTGGGGGGGTGAGGGGGTGATGTGCAGCCATATGCGAAGGACTCATGGCATTCAGTGTTCAAACTGGCCGTAATATTATAGTGCTTACATTTTTTCAGCACAGTGCATTTGTGACGTAGAGTTCAGTTGTATTTCACTTGTAATTTTTTTTTCCAACTGTTGGCTTTCAAATATTTCGGGTTTTTTTTACCCTCGATGCCCTTCCTGATTCAACCCCCCCAAAAATTGTCTCATAAAACATAACATACTACAGTGTGTTTTTGCAGATGTACATGAGTCCACCTAAATCAACCAGTTTCACTTAAGTGACCAAATATGGTTGCGTTAAAGTGAGCAAATTCAGGTACACCTGATATGGTTTGGTTCACCTTAAGTGACCAAGTATGATTACACTAAATATGATTTCATTTAATATGGTTCCACTGAACCAAATAGGAGTCCACCTGATATATTAAATAGTGTTGCACTTAGGTGACCAAACGTGGTTCCACTTAATGTCGCCACGAAAGTGACCACTTAAATATGGCCCGGTGTGGAGACATTCTGTTCATTTACAGCCATGCACTGTAGTAGTAGGATTTTTTTTTTTTTTTTTTTTAGCTTGTCATCTATAGGATGGATGCTCTTTCAATTCATCTTCAGGGTTTTTTTTTGTCTGCCCCTGTGGTGTGACCTTGGAATAATGCCATCTCAATGACATTCTGTCAGCGCCTAATGAGAGCCGAATTAAAATTTCAGCAGTTCCTACACATAAAGCACTCGTACATCAATTTAATGCGGACACTTTGGTAATTGTGCTCCTGAAGGTGCTCATTCAGCACCCGCTCCCACCTGGAGTTATAATTACACCCTTTTACTTTGTCTTCGGTACTATATCAGAACCTCCAAGTTCTTAAAAAAAAAAAGAAAAGAAAAAAAAAACGTGTTCAATTAAAAGCGTGTGTACTGTTCACACTTCATGGCACGTCTGTTTGATTTCATTTCACTTATGCATATGCTATGCGAGCTATGTATACAGTAAAGAAAGACTGCTACGTTAGCTTGTGATGCTAGCCTTTAGCTAGTCCTGTACTTGCCACTTGTGGTTAAAATTGCAAAGTGTTATTCTATTACGTGACATTAGCGCTCAATTCATTTTTATATCAGGCAATCTTTTGTAACTAATCCACCATCTCGTGTCCACTTGTAGGTGATGCTCGACTAATCGCCGGAGGCTGTAAGATGCTCTCAACATCACAGTAGTCATACACCATTGGCCAGCGACGAAGATTGATACTTCCGAAGTGTAGCGAGATGAAAGCAAAATATAACCATGAAGCTAAACGTTGCATTCAAAAGCTCATAAAAGAGATTTATTTACGCGATGAGATCATCCTCTGCGGGTGCGGCGCCGCGGTGGGAATTCTTTCACAACGCTCATGTAACGTCATTAATTTGCACCCATTTTTAACTCTTCCGCACTGTTGTTGTTATTTCCTCTCCTAAAATTTGTCAAGAGTGAAAAGCTTGAGCAGACACTTGGTGCATGATGCAATTGTTTCAAAATGTTTTGGGTTTTTTTTTCTTTCTTTCAATTAAAACTTGTGACTGTATTTTTAGGCTTTGATGTTGAATGACTCACGCGGCAGTGGATTGTTTGCCAACGTTGCTCTTCATCCTGCGTATCCCAGATAAGCTTGTAAGTACTTTTTTCTTTTATCGCACATTGCGCGGGCAGCAGTGTCATATTTTCTGTTTTACACACATACAAAAAAAAGGAGCTGTCATTGGAATGGATGGAAAGAATTTTTTGCTCCGTTCATGTGTTGTACTTAAAGAATTAATATTTATTCATGTCGTAGCCATTTTTGTTTTGTGTTTTATCGATACATATTGTAGGGTGATGCCTCTCCATCATTGTGACTCATTTAATTATTTTGTTTCATTGCACAGTTCCCATATGTTGGTATAAACTAAATGACACTAAATGACTACTTTCAAAATGACAGGACGTTTGCAAACTACCCCAAGTTATGGCTCCCCTTAGGGACCCCAGTTTGAGAACTACAGCTTTAAAGAGTCCCTTAAATACGAGTCAGCCAACACCAGCTTCAGTTCTTCCCCTCTTTTCCTTAAAAGAGGTCTTTGTGCCTGTAGGGCCCCCATCAGTTACCTGCTGACAGGCCGAGCATGACTGATGCGCCGCCCGAGGGCCCCGCCCCCGACCCCCACCCCGCCCCACAGCCACCCACCTCCATGCTTTACTTTGTCAGGCAGCTCATCATTTATACATCTTATCGGAAACAAAAGGCAGAGCACCGCTGCGTGGAAATTAAAAGAAAGACTTGTGTCTGGACGCCTGAAGTCACATGATCCCACCGGGCAACATGAGCCGCCCCGCCCCGCTCCGCAGAGCCCTTTCGTCTGCCCACACCTCCGCCGCGTGAGTGTTGGACGCGGTCCTGGCACTGTGAGGCCCGCCTCTTGGTCTCAGGTGACAAAGACATGAAACACAGTGCTGTCGACACATGCTGACGTCTGTTCCTCTTGTTCTTCAACTTTTTACACCAAGTACTACCATCATGACCAACATAAATTTTTGTGTGTGTGTGTGTCGAAGTATGTTGATCATTTGGAGGACTGGTGCATTCATCGCTGCTTCATCTTTAATTTCCGAAAAAAAGATTGCGGTGACGTGTTCTTAACAGGTTGAAATGATTAACTCTGCACTGTCGTTGCGAACGGTAATCCATCTTTCACAGTCGCACCGGACCAAATTTCACCGACGCGTCACGCCATCTCATTTGATTTGCGGCGTTACAAAATGTTAATAAAGTTTTGCTTGGCGCGCACGGCAAGCGCAGAACTTGAACCCGCTGGCAGGATATGAAGGAGTGATCCTTTGAGCCAAGATGAAAATAAAAAGTCAGCGGGAGGCCCAGCGGCACTCATGTTTGACTTTGCTTTTCGTATCGTATCAATCATTCGACGCTGACGGCACAACTGTAAGTCTTAATTTGAGTAAAAACACATGTTCTTGGCAGCGTCGGTAGAATGCGGTGAGAAACGGCAAGACGACAGGCCGAGGGAGCTCCCTGTCACGTAAACAACGGACGGACTAGCACAACATTGGCAACTGGAGTGTAAATTGAGCGACTACTGCTAACCGGAACCTAAAACGATGACAAAAGTAGATGAGTCCAGTTTTGTACCCTCTGGATAAGGAGGAGAAACCGAGTGGATGTGTTTTGTGCCGACGCCACCGTCCGTTGTCGTTTTCGCGTTTAATCTGCAGACGGCTCATTATACCCCCGCCGCTTCCTCGTTCAACAATCGCGCTGAGAAACGAGCGGATGCTTGAACTCGTCAGACTGTTCTCCGTATCTCTTGATTCTTTTGGGCCTCCTGGATCGTCAGCATCATAATCATCTTCATCGTCATCCTCCTCCTCGGCCCGAGAGAGCGCGCAGGGGCTTTGTTCTCATTCGGGGATGTTTGGCAGCGCGCTGATAGATATGATTATCCTTAATGTCGGCGCGTCGCCGCATCCTCGATAACAGATTGTCTCCGTAGAATTCATCCTGCTTATCTGCTCTCGTTAGGCCCTCTGCACTGGGATGGGGGGGAGTTTCTTTTTTGCTTTGTTCATCAGGATGAGAGATGCGTTTCTTTACCACGAAGAGATAAGCGGCGCAGTGCTGGCTGGAAATTTGCACTCCGCGATCCGCTGGTCCAGTCCAGAGGTCTCCTCGCTTCGGGCCGTTCCGTTCCTACGATGGCGACGTGACCACTTCGGCGTGTGCCAAAAGTAGATATGCGGTGAACCCTCACGCCGTTGCCATCTTGTGGCAGCTGGGTGCCAAGAAACTATGTTGAAGTGCGGGGTGGAACTTCATTAAGTCTTAGCCGCAGTCTTGTGCCACTTTGGGTGGGCGTCACGTCAGTCGCCATTTCCCCCGTTTTCTTAACTGCTCCGCCTTGGTCAAATGACATCCAAGGGTTTGTTCACGATGAAATAAGTCTGTCGAAAATGGATGTCTGAATATTGTGCCGTTGTCGCAGCGCAGCGCAGGGAGTTGAGCGCATTCCGTTCAGCGCAACGCTCTGCAGCCGCCCAGAGCAGCTCAAGGGCTGAGGGCTGTCTGTATGTGCAGATTAGAGCCAGCTGATGAGGCATGTGGAAGCTCGGAGGGGGGGTCAAGCTTGGGAATGCCAGCTGCCAAACGGCTCACCTGGCACAACACTCGTCTCTCAGCACCCACTGTCCCACTCCGCAAAGCCCCCTTCAGCATCAGGATGGCTGAAGAGTTCCTATCCTGTGACGGGATGCGAGATAAGTCGTATCTCTGGAAACCCTCCACAGGTGTACCAGCCCCCGAGACACTTTTCTGCACTCGCGCCGCCTTTAGTGGGCATGCAGACGCTAGAAGACATTTTCATTTTAGTTTTACCCCCCACATGCAGATTGTCTGTCCTGTCCATTTAGGCTGCCTGCTTACCTCCAAGGCCTCGTTTCAAAGTGTCGCTCAGGCATCCGTCAGACCGTTCTGAAAGCGCGCACAATAGCTTTAGAACCGCAAGTGCTCATATCGCCATACAACTGGCTCGGCTTTGAAGGCAAAATAGGCAAAAATTCCTCTTCTTTTCAAGTGATGCCAAGCTATTCTCACAGTTTTTATCAGGCCAAGCCTAACTTCCCCCCCACCTACCCTCCCGACCCACCCCGCCTTGCCCCCTCTCTCCGCTAATCACATGTTGTGAACACAAGACCAACAAAGGCGGCATTGTTTCACGTTTATCTGTGTTTAAGCGACTCCGACGTTAGAGATGGCTGATTGTTGGAAAAGAGCTCAAAACGTTGGTCCTACCTGAGAGAATGTTTTTAGGTGCTGGATGATGCAAACAGAATGCTTTGTCGTCATCGTCCCCCCAAATGTGGTTGTGACATAGCTTTGGCAAAAAAAAATACTGTTTCAAAATTGTCTCAATCTCTGTGTAAATGTTTCCACTGTGATACCAACAGAAATGTGTCGTCATTATATTTAATGGCGCCAAAATGGCGGACTGGCTGTGCCTTTCGCGGCATGGCCTCCTAAGACTTTTTTTGTGGGTCTACTCATTTCTAAATTCCCCGTTGCTCAGTCCAACTGCTATCAGGGGCTGAATTACCGTTGCATCATATTTTCTCCCGTTGCATCATATTTTTAGTTAGATTGTGCAAGTGTGCCTAATATAGTGACCAGTGCGCGCGATGGTTCGAAAGGGAAACGATTGGCCGAGGACTAAAAAGTCTAAAGGGAGTTATTTCCACTTTGTGTTTGCACGAGGGACTTGCATGGCCTTGCCCGTGGGTGGCCGCCTTAATAATGTGGCAAGATGAATTGCGGACAAGCTGCCGTATTATGAGGGTCTTGGCCATGGGGGGGCGGAGAGGGGTTTGGGGGTGGGGGGCGTCCAGATCTGGCCTGTGATCTGTGAGGCCAAGAGGAAATGAGTCAAGGCAGGCTGGAGCGGCCTTTTCAAAGTGTGCACCTAAGGAAATGAAAGAGCTTATTGAAATGAGCGGCCAGCAAGCGCTTGCCATTCTTGAGAGGCCAGCCGTTAAGATTCCTTGTAAAAGCTAAAGAAGACGTGATTGTTGATTTCATTTGATTTTTTTCTTTCTTCCCCCCCCTTCCATTTCAGTGACTCCAAGCTGGCAAAAATGGTTGTACTCTCCAGAGGGAAGGAGTCTTCCGCCACCTGTTGGATTCTTTTCGCATTGCAGCACAAACTCTGCAAACAAGTTGGGCTCACCTATTGGCAAGGTTTTCTTCATTTGAACCAAATGGAACTTCTGTTTGATTCAATATTTGTATGGAGGTAAAGTTTTGGGTGGGTGTCCTCCAACCCCCAAAAAAGTAGCGAAGGTGCATTCACTAACAAAAGATGACAACTCTGCGCCTTGCCGAGCTTATTGACGACATTCTCGTGACCGCGGTTGGTATACTTCTTCCCGTGGCCGCCGCCGCCTCCTCCTCCTCATCGCCTTTCTCATCGTAGCTCAGCTGCGTCGCTGTCGCGCCGCCAAGCACGAAATGCGCCGTGAGCTGTGTATCATGTCCCATTCTAATTAGCTTTGTCAGGCCCGAGCCCCGCCGCCGCCACGCAGATCATGCTTTCGCTTAGCACTGCCACAACTTCCCCATTTTGTCCAAGAGCCACACTCCCTTACCTCCAGATGCAATTTGAATATCTTCCATGGCCAACACTTGCATCTCAAATCATCTCTCCACATTGAAACGAATGGCAATGCCGTTAATCCATTCCAGTCAATAACAAAAAAATCCCAAATGGTGTCACTCATATTCTGAAAGTGAGCTACAATTATAGTAGTCCTTTTTTTGCCGGGGATAAAGAATACACGTCTGGCAATATTATGTTATCTGTCTCGATGATTTCACGCATGCACTTGTGTTTCAATCGACATTGCCCCAAGTGTTGTAACAGTGACTTCCGATGCTATTTGTTAGCTATGACGTTTCTCATTCGGCGTTAGCATTAGCGCGCAGACTTTTGTGGTTTTTAAATCGATAATTCTCTTTGTTTTATGTTTATTTTGACAGTAAACCACAACTGGGAGTGGTATCCAAAAATAGACAAATAAAAGCGCAGGTCATTCAGAAGAATAAAGGTCAACAATTAGGCTGGCTCATCCGCATCCAAATGTATATTTTGAAGCCACCGTTAGTTCGGACTGTTGGAAGCCCGCCCGGGTCCCCGCGATTACTTTGATCTCGTCTCGTCTCCCGGTGCTTCATCAGCGAGCACCTGAGGGCCTCCGTCTCTCGAACCCTGATTGGAAGTGGCAAGGAGATGAGGAGGAAGAGCGAAGGCGGGAATAAAAAAGAACAAGGGAATAAAAATAAGTGCGGCGGGCGGGCTCGAGCCGAGCGGGGCCCATCAACACCGATGAGCGTTAGCGTGTGTCACTGCCAGACAAGTGTCAAATCACTCAGGCCGCTGCCTCATTTGACTGGAGCGCATCAATCAGCCGGGCCCGATGCCGGGCGACGGGCCGGCATCGGGCTTCACCTCTGGCTCCCTCATTAGCTTGCGTCAGTGTTAGTGAAACCTCCGCCTGTCAGGGTGCTTGGCCACGCTCTTCCCGCACGCACTTTGAGGGGGTTTTGTTTGTTACTTTCACGTCGCCGTCGCCATGTTTTGAGTATTTGAGGTGACCCCGGAGAATCAAGCCAGCATCCAAATGGATGCGATTCACCGAAGGGAAAACATCAGCTCAATTTAGTTTCGGACTGAACAAAATGGAAATGCGCCCAATTTGTCAAAGTAAAAAATAGCAAAGCGATACCCCGTGCAAAGTAAAAAAAAAAACTCATGCGTGCTTTGTTTTCATTCATTGATGGAAAAATGGTGGGGGAATTTGATGGAAAACTTACAAATTCCCATATTCAAATACCTGTGAGGAGCTAACAAGCTATCCATGTTAAGCGTGTCACATTTTGGACGTTAATACAAGGAGACAGCTCGTCGCACTCCAGTGTTCAGATCACCTCGAGTCGTTCTCGTATCGGAAGAAATGAGCACACTTCCCCGGCGAGGTGACCAAACGCACGTTGACTCTGGCTTGTCCGCAGGCAGGCTGGCCCGGGTCCCGGCGCCGTGACACAACGGGCCTGCTGGTCACGACGAGAGGGAAGTGTGGACGGGAAACCGTCGACGGGGCTGTCGAGTTGGCTGAGCGTCACGCGCCGCAAGTTGGAAGATGCCGGCCACTAATACGGCACCAGTGTCTCTCGTCCTCGCCTCTGCTACCTGTCACCGCGCCCTTTTCGTCATGTTTGGAAACAACAGGCGTAAGTTAGCAAAATAGAATAGCTAGCCTCTGAGCTCATGTCAGCTAGACAGCATCCAAAGAAGACAGCTATTTCATTAATCCCAGCAACGGAAATCTCAGTTTATAACCGTGGCGTCTATTCTTTATCCTCTGCGCAGAATAAACAATCTGGCCATACTGAGAAGATGGAGAGAGGAGCCAGAACAGCGCTGTTCGACTCTGCATGACAAGATCTTACTGCCCCCAGGTGGTTGAGGTGCAGAACAATGTCCATTGAAAAATGTGGCAAAAACGTTTGCTCTCATGCTTTACAAGGGTCCACCGGCACGGGACCTGACGATCACCGGCTCACGCAGCCCGTCATTTCCACTTTGGAACGGGTGGCATGCGCAGGCTGACGTGACTGCCTTTGAGCAGCGCCGCTTCGCCACTGACTTGCAGCTGCAGCCGCCACTTGCCACGCTGCATTCCTCCTCCTCTTCCTCCTCCTCCTCATGACAGTAAGAGCACCTTGATGGATTGCCTTGCCAAAAGTGCTGATCACAGGGGGTTCAAAGTTCACGTCAGGTGAACGACTGCAATCACCCCAGAGCCAGCCGACCATAACATTGCTGACTGTTGCTTCATTATTCATTGTAATACATCACATTATTTTTCATTTGTTCATGTCGTGTGTTCCATTCGATCAAAATAGTTGTTGGGGTTTTTTTGTTAGTTTTTCCTCATAGTTCTCATACTTTAAATCTTCCCTCCACTTGTCAAGCTCGAGACTGTGGCCCATTTCCAGAGTGCATCCCGTTAGATGATCGGCTCTAATTTGAGCCGGCTCGTTAGCTTCGTTGGCTAATGCGACGGCTTGATTGTTGTACGCGTATCCCGCCGCACGCCCCGATCAAGCGCATCGCCGTGCCGAAAAAGAGCAGACATGTAAAAGTTTGTGACATGTGTCAGGGCGGCATGGAGACGATGTCGCTGATGTCGGTGGAGCTGACAGGCGCAGATGGCTTTGGGACATTGCAGGTTTGGTACATGTCAACTTGCATCGCCGTCACCCGCTGGAAGCTGTGTAAATATGTCAGCGCTGTCGTTTAAAAAAAGCACCATTTGGATTGCTTTGTTTTAAGTACGCATTGGCATAGGAGTGGCCCAAGTTGTTTTTGGACATAACGCTTTTTTAACCTGAAATGTGAGTGAAAATTTGATATTCATGTTCTAGTAGATGGTGGCAGCCAACCTGACAACAAGCAGCGTTTGGGCAGGTGAATGTTTTTAACTCCCGCCCCCACTAATTCTCGAAGGAAACATAAAACAAAGACAATTATACATTACGTATTTTAAAAAAAACCTTTGCCATAGGAATGCCTGCTAGCTTACTGCTAAAAAACAAAAGGAAACCAAATCCACATCCAGTGTTGGAGTAGTCGATGTGTTGTGCTGCCCTCTAGTGGCCAAGGGATGCACACCAGTTACATCATGCCTGTTGTAGCAATGCATGTTTAATTCTTTACATTCAATTTAATAATAATCTGACTGTGTTTTTAAGAGCAAAAAAATGATAGAGTCCTACTTTTTAAATTATTATTTTTTGCTGGTGTCTCCGGTAAGGGCCTGGAACGTGGAAGCCTTTTAGATGTTCTTTGAAGTTTGCGTGTGACTTACAAGCGTATAGCTTACCTCCAAATATGCCCAAGTTAAATCAAAATGATGCCGTGACGTTGTGGAGCCCACGCCGCCAGCTTGCCGCGTAAACATCTGAAAGGCGTCTTGTGCGCGACCCCGAAAGGGTCAAGCCCCAGTCTCGCGTGTGCGCACCCGGACAACGCGGCAACGGCTGAAGGTCATGTCGGCGTCTTGGTGCATAATGCATGAATGCGTGAGCCTCGGACATCTAACACGCAGACATTTGACTCGAGTAAATCACGGCGCACCCTGGCATTTCTATGAACCTCCGTGTGCCGCAGACACCCACATGAATCAAGTGGAAATAATGCGCCGCAGACTGTAAATCACGTTGCAAGGCGAGGGATCCTCCAATTTGTACTCGGCATAGAAACCAACAAGAAGGAAAACGCGACGTTTCATTTCATTTACGCCGCGCCACTTGAAAGCGTGCGCGGCCTAATAGTGTCATGTCCCAGCCGCCCCGTCTGCGAAATGAAATGCTTGAGAATACAATACATATGCGTTTATTTCACTGAAATACAAAAATAAATAAATAAATAAATAAATAGGTGAGCCCCTTCTGTTGGCTTTCTTGTGGATACGAAAGGAGGAGGGGGGGGGGTTGGGGGGCTTCAGGTTTTTGCAATAATATACAGGCAAGTTCCAATTTTGAGTTTGTAAGTATGGCCCAAAACCAAAACGTGAACACGCTTGACAGATGCGGATGATGGTTCTGCCAGTGGTCCTTTTAAGACTTTTTGCGAGCTTGCTAACAAATACATTCCCGAGCTGCGCCGATGGGAGGAAAAACATTCTCGAAGCCTCTTTTCGCAGCAGTGGGCCCCTCCGGAGGTCCTCATTCGGCTGAAGCACCCAGCTGGCACGCCGCTGACACACGTTGGCCGAATGGGTGCGACAGATGGAACATGGAAGAAGCACATGCAGGATTATGATAGAGCTCTTTTTTTGTTTTGCAGTGTGGAAAGGAGCGAGGGCCGGGGCTTGCGTCGGGCAATTTCCGGGGGAAGC